AAGAAACACGATGTCAGGACCCCAGGCTCCAGGCAGGGCCGTTACAATGGGCCCACAGTGTGGTGCCAGTGCGCCCCTGCTCCCTGTGGCAGCGAGGGCAGCTCCCGCCGGTCAGCTCTGTGCTCAGGCTGTGTGTGCACGGGGAGGCACAGACCGCCCTCTTGGCGTGTGTCCTCAGGTTGGAGTCCGTGAGGCTGGAGTACCGTGCGGGGCTGAAGAACATCGCCAACACGCTCATGGCCAAGGCGCTGCAGGAGTGCCCCAGCTCCGGTAAGGCCGGCTGCGCCGGGCAGGCTGCAGGCACTTCCTGGGTGGTTTGCATGAGTCACTTTAGTCAGAAGGTCTATTGCCACAGTTATTGAGACATTGCAACTGAATTCACCGTCAGGGGCATTCCACTTCCTGTTCTGAGGTGCTGCCACTTCTTTCCTTCACCGTGTTACCCCAAGTCTGTGAGGGACGCACATGCAGTGTGAACGGATTTGGAGTGAAAGGGAATGAAACCACCTCTGAGCCACTGCTCAGAGACCACTACTTTGAGCTTTTTGTAAAGTAACAAAGTACGTTTAGTTCTTGTGTTGTTTCCATTGCTTTCTAGAGAGAGTAGGAGGGAGGGAGTGAAGGATGGAAGGAGAGAGAGAGAGAGAGAGAGGGAAAGAGAGAGAAACATTGATGTGAGAGACACACATCAACTGGATTGCCTCCTGCAGGCGCGCTAACGAGGCAGGGAGCAAACCTGCAGCCCAGGTACATGCCTTTGGCTGGGAGTCGAATCTATGGCCCTTCGGCTTGTGGGCCTACACTCTAACCACTGAGCAACGTGGCCGGGGCTAGTATGTTTAGTTATGTGATTTTTTTTTTTAATATATTTTATTGATTTCTTACAGAGAGGAAGGGAGAGGGACAGAGAGCCAGAAACGTCTATAAGAGATAAACATCGACCAGCTGCCTCTTGCACACCCCCTACTGGGGATGTGCCCGCAACCAACATACATGCCCTTGACCAGAATCGAACCTGGGACCTTTCATTCCGCAGACCAATGCTCTACCACTGAGCCAAACTGGTTTTGGCTATGTGATTTTTTTAAAGCTGAAAAGTTGGTGAGAATTTTCTATTATCGGTGACTCTTCAAGGATGTAAATTATAAAATTTTGTAAATATTGCCCTAACCGGTTTGGCTCAGTGGGTAGAGCATCAGCCTGTGGACTCAAGGGTTCCAGGTTCGATTCTGGTCAAGGGCATGTACCTTGGTTTCGGGCACATCCTTGGCAGGGAGTGTGCAGGAGGCAGCTGATTGATGTTTCTCTCTCATTGATGTTTCTTTCCCTCTCCCTTCCTCACTGTAAAAAAATCAATAAAATCTATTTTTTTAAAAATCAAAATTTTGTAAATATGACAGCACCGCTTAACTGTTCTCTAAATTTTTAATCTTATTAAATTCAGCATTACAACCTTTCTGTGTGACTCTTGCCTAGCATTTCTGATGGTTCTATTACAATTGACTTGGATGGGGAATTACTGAGCCGCAGGAGTGAGACCTCGTTATTTCCAGCCCGTCATCCCCAGAAAGCTGTCCGGCCTGTGCCCTCGGGGCTGCGGACGGGCTTATGTGGTCTGTGGTGCTCCCAAAGCAGGGCCTCCTCTCGGCTGCGGTGTTGGCCGGACAGGCTGTTGGCGAGCCACGGTCAGTCTGAGGTGTGGCGTCTGTGAATTTCAGGTGTCCTGTGGTCTGAAGCCATCTTCCTGGAGGCCAGGCCCCAGAGGAGGACCAAGAGCGTCGACGCCCTGAAGAAATGCGAGCACGACCCCCACGTGCTCCTGGCCGTGGCCAAGTGAGTGGCGAGGCCGGTGGGGCTCCCTGGCCCGGCCCCTGACCTCTGCGGCGGAGCGCTGTGGCCTCTTGGAGCAGAGGCCGTGCGGACACGCGCTGCCTGGATTGCCTGGTCCCCTCTGTCCAGTCCTTCAGATGCCACTGCTCCTCTGGGTCTGCCACTTTGTAGCTACACACATACATGCCCTGGGTTTCAAGACAGAGGCCGACGTCGAATGTTGGTGCACACAATTTAATTCATAAGCAAAGCCCCTCTGGCTGAAAGGGCTGTAAGCAAGGGACTGGTCTCCCAGGCCAGGACAGAATGTCGCTCCTTGGTGGCCTGGGAGCCATCGGGTCCGGCTGTCAGTGCCTGGGTTGTGGAAATGCCACTTTTTTTTTTTTCTTTTCTTTTTTTTAATATATTGTATTGATTTTCTTACAGAGAGGAAGGGAAAAAGAGAGAGAGCTAGAAACGTCGATGAGAGAGAAACATCGACCAGCTGCCTCTTGTACACCCCCTATTGGGGATGTGCCCGCAACGAATGTACATGCCCCTGACCGGAATCAAACCTGGGACCTTTCAGTCCGTAGACTGACGCTCTACCGCTGAGCCAAACCAGTTTCGGCAAAATGCCACCTTCTTCAGGGCAAATGGTCTCTGGGCAAAAGGAGGTCGGTGACCTCCCACCGCGAGCTGGTGTGTCGGGTGCTGGGTCAAGGCTCCCGGGGAGGGCGAGCTGTGGGGCGTGGGAAGGAGCTCGGGGTCTCGCGAGCACTGGGAGAGGCTGTGGCCCATTAGTGGGGCGTCTCGAGAGCTGCCGCTCCCTGCTTGCTTGCAGGAGGCCTTCCTGAGAAGAGTGGGACCTGCGTGCAGGGCAGGGCTTGCATACGGACGGCTCCTGGGGCTGCTGCTCACCCAGGAGAGGTGGCAGCTGGGCTGTCAGAGCCTGAGCCGGGGATATGCCCAGCTGGCCTTAGCGCTCTGCCCAGCACCTCTTCTCACTGCTGTGGGGGCAAGGGCCTCCCACAGGCTCCTGAGGCCTGTCAGGGCTCCCTCCCTCCTGTGCCGTGCTTCCGCCTCCAGAATGACCTTTATGTGTGCCACTCAGATAGGACGGCCATAAACCTCATAAAAGGCTTTGCTAAAATCAACAAGTCCCTCCTTGCTGTTCCCAGGCCGGTGTTCTGTGTGCCTGCTATCTGGGTTTGTGCTCTTTAAATCACAGTTTATCTAACACCAAGCAATTAAGAATACCACAAGGCTTAAAAAACAATCAAGCTATCATTGCATCCAATTACTCGGTTTCGTTACAGACCGGCCCCAGCAGCTGCCTGGTGGAGGGTTAGTGTGCCCTGGGCATCGGACCTCTGGCGAAGAGGGCGGCGGGGCTGGGTGAGGGTGGAAGCAAGTCCTCTCACCGTCCTGTCCTAACTAACGTGCGGGGCTTTGTTGACCCTCAGTCAGGACACGGGTGTCTGCCTGCCGTGCCAGGTGCCTGTGCGGGCCTGAGGCCCTCTCCTCAGGGGGGCTGCCTATGGGCAGGAACAGGCCAGGCCTCCCTTCCTTTCCAGATCAAAGCCGTGTTCACATTTTTGTCAGTTTCCTTTCATCCCCTGTATCTTTCCTGGAGGAGAGAGGGATGAAGGCGTGCAGGTTCCTTCCTCCGAAACAGGTGGTTAGGCACTGGGGGAATGGCTCCGGCTTTGTGACCTGCACGGTTTCCAGGTGGCCAGGCCCCTTCCCCAGCCCCTGGGGGAGCCCAGGGCTCGCAGGGAGGACAGGGGCCACGGCCTGTCTCGGGGCTCATGCTGCACCCACACATGGGGAGGCTGGAGCCAGGCCTCGCTGGCCGCTCACCCTGGGCTCTCCCCCTTCGGCTTCCGACAGGCTGTTTTGGAGCGAGCGGAAGATCACCAAGGCCCGGGAGTGGTTCCACCGCACCGTGAAGATAGACTCGGACCTGGGGGACGCCTGGGCCCTCTTCTACAAGTTTGAGCTGCAGCACGGCACCGAGGTCTGCGGGGGCCGGGCGGGCGGGCGGGGCGCGACAGCACTCTGCTGGCAGCTTGTCCTCCGCAGCTGGTTGCGGTTACAGCTCCGTAGCCTCAGCCTGAGATGTAGGTGTTTGGGCCTGTTAAGCGGCCTGTTCGCATCTCAGTTGGTGATGGGGTCCCAGTAGAAATGAGGATTGTCCTGGTGCCCCAGTATGGCTTCCAGGGGAGGCTGGGCTCACAGGGTGGAGTGCCCACGAGAAGTTGACTTTGCCTTTGAGGGAGGCAGGGGCTTGACTCTGCTATACATCTGGGTCAGGCCTGCCCCAAAGTCATCTGTCCGGGGGGTGCAGGGGGCTGCTCCCAGCAGCAGGGTCCAGCTGGGGCTGAGGGGCACAGCGGGACGGGGGAGGGAGAGCCCGGGAGGAGCCCTGTCTCAAGTGCCCTCTGGCCCCATCCAGGAGCAGCGGGAGGAGGTGAGGAGGCGCTGCGAGAACGCCGAGCCGCGGCACGGCGAGCTGTGGTGCGCCGTGTCCAAGGACATCGCCAACTGGCAGAGGAAGATCGGGGAGATCCTCGTGCTGGTGGCAGCCCGCATCAAGAACACCTTTTGACTGGGCGGTCCCTCGGGGCTGGGCTCTCAGGGCGGGTGGCGAGGTGCCTGCCTGCCGTGTGGGGACAGGGTTGGAGAGGCTGGAATTAAAGTTTTTCTAGGTAGCGGAGAGGGTTGGTGACCTGTTGGTTTTCTCTGGGCCTCCTGGCTTGTGCTGTGCGCCAGTCTGGCCTGGAGGGCTCGGCGCTCTTGTGTGCAGGGCGGCTTCTGAGAGGAAGTGACTCGGGGGGAAGGTGGTAGGAAGTGTACCTTGCTAGTGACTTGTATGTCCCCTCTGGAGCCTGCAGCTCCTCTGGAGCGGGGCACCAGATCACAGGTTCCCAGGCGGAGAGGGGAGGCCTCTGTGAGTCCGAGTGCACACAGCCCCGTCCTCAGCCGCCTGCCTCCAGAGCCAGTTGCCGAAGGGTGCCTGGGAGGTCCTCCCGCTGGTGGTGGAGGAAGATGTCCCCGTGAGCGATGTCCTCACGTTTGCAGGTGGCTTTGCTTTTGTTGCTTTATAATCAGCAGAGCGCCTAAAGCTGCCTGCCTGCGTGCTGAGCAGGAGTCCCGGGACCTGGCAGCGGACGCAGGACCTCCGTAGGCCCTGCGTGGAGAGGCCGGTGGCTGGTGAGGCCCGGCACCCTGAGCTTCGTGGCGCTCCTTCGTCTGTGCCGAGGAAACGGGCTCAGGGAGGGACAGACAAGTCGCTGGCTGTGGCCACAGGGACGTGGGTGGTCGTCTGCGCCCCGAGCGGGGCGTGTCTTCTGGGCACCCCCTCTGGCTTTGATGTCCGGTGAGCTTCCTGCGGGAATGGAAAGTCCAGAGCATCAGGATCTTCCGCGGGAATGTCTTGGGCGTCCTTTTCGCAGATGCTTGGCGGCACATTCTTTCTCTCCTTGGGAAACACTTCATCTCCACCCCTGGCGAGTGGGTCCCAGAGGCTGTCCCTGTCCTCCGGGCAGCCAGGGGGGCAGCAGCTGGCCAGGTGCGGGGCCAGCGGGAAGTCCCATGCAGGGACCTGCTGGGGGTGGTGCTGGCGTGGAGGGATAAAGTCCCCTCGCTGCTGCTGTGGCCAGGTTCCTGGGAGAAACAGCCCTGCCAGCCTGAGGGAGACCCAGATGGGGGGTGCAGGTGGTCCCCTGCTTGGCTCCCCTTCCCCACCTGGCTGTACTGCCCACTGGGCACCCCACCCCACCCCCTTTGGGATAGCACATGTCTGTGGGGCTGGTGACTCAATCCAGGACCCACTGGGTGGGAAGAGAGCCCAGCACTGCTGGGTCCAGGGTCAGGTTAATTGGAGAAGCGATTGGATACGGAGTTGGGAGAGGGAGGGGGCAGGCTGGGATCCTGGGGCCTCCCTCCTCCCTCCCTCCTTTGCTGGAGGAGCCAACTTCAAAAGCCTTGTCCGCCTGCCGCCAGCCCAGCCACAGCCGCCCTGCTGCCGCGCGTCCGGGGACGCCTTCGGCTGGACTGGCTGGGCTTGGAGAGGTTCCTGCGCCCCACTGAGGACCCGGGATCATGCTGGAGGCTCCCAGGCGGGAATGAGGGAGGGCCTGCCCCTGAGAGGCCCATGGTGAGCAGCTTCGGGCCTAGGGAGGGGGCGCGCATGGCCCAGGGGCTGGGAGCTGGGAGCCGGCACAGCCCCGGAGGCTGCCTGATCCTCGGTGCTCCACCGGCCGGTGAGGGCCGCTGGGAAAGCCCCGTGGAGGCTGCGGAGCTGGCCCTGCGTGCTCGGGCCGCAGGTGCCGGGCCGAGCCTTTGCCAGCAGGGTTGGGGGCAGGGAGTCTGCAGGCTGGGCTGAGCCTTGGGGCCCTGTGTGTGCACGTGTGCGTGCACGTGTGTGTGCGTGTGTGCCTATTGGGGAGATCCACAGATGGGTGTTCTGAGGATCCTTGGGCCACAAACTTTCCCACTTGGACGTCCCTCCTCCAGCACCAACTTGTTCTCCTGTCACTGCCCTCTGACCCACCGCGGCAGAGGGGCGACTCCGGGTTGGCCACCTGCTGTATGCCCAGGGTGGGGAAGGGGCACAGCTAATTGCCTCTGCACCTCCAGCGGCCAGGGGCCCGTGCGGGAGCCCACACACGCCAGGCCTGGGTACCTGCTGGGGTGCTGTGGGGGGCTCTCGGCCAGGGCTGGGAAGCCGAGTCGAGTCCTGGTCTCGCTCGGTTCACTTGATTAACTTTCCAGTCGCTGTTGGAGCCTGAGGGTGGGTTTGGGGGCTGGGGCTGGAGACAAGTCTTTCTCTGCGAGGCCTGGGCTTCTGAGGGGGTGGATTTCCACCGTGGGAGCCGGCCCCTGTTCTGAGGAGGGAGGCCTTAAGCAAGGTATCTGGTGGGGCAGAGTGCGCCCCCTCCCTTCTCGTCTGGGGGTTTCCCCAAGCCTTCCACCTCCGAAGGGCGTGGCCGTCGGCTCCGAGACCTCGCCCTGTCCCGTCCGGTTAGGTGTGCAGGGACCCCATCTCCTGGATCAGGACTGATTAGGAGAGTCCCTGGAGGGGCAGTTCTGCCCGGGCTCCTGGGCCGGGCTCTGGGAGGGGCACCCTGCGGCACCCGCCAAGGCCAGCCCTGCCCCCAGGCTGTGGGCTCCGGAGCGTCTGTCTCCCCAGCCTCACCCCTCAGCGGTGAGCCGGCTTAGCCGGCCCTTCTGTCTTCAGCTACAGGGACAGCATGTTAGCTTCAGGTGCGCCCCCGTGCCCGGCTTTACAGAATGAGCGGTCACCCCAGCAAGCGCAGCACAGCCTGCTGTCAGTCTGCGGACCTCCCCTCGGCCGTGCGTCCCATGACTTGTCTGGCCCTGCCTGGGCCTCAGCTGCTTGTTGGATGTTGGGGTGACATCTGCATTTACACCAGCTCAGATTCCTCAAGGGTGTGGCGGAGCACACTGCCTGTGAGGCTGCTGGAGGGGAGACCCCTCCACAGGCCTGGGCACCCCACCCTGACCTGGCGGCCTTTTAGGTAACCCCCAAGCCCATGCTCTGGGCGCTCCTGCTGGCGCTGCTAAGAACCTCGGTCCCCACCCAGCCCGGTGCCTGCAGTGTCCCCGATGTGCTGCGCCACTACCAGGCCGTCATCTTCGAGGACCTGCAGGCCGCTGCGAGGCGGGCAGGGCCCGGGGCTGCAGGGGACGGGCCAGGCCCCAGACAGCTCCGTTTCGTTGAGAAAAACCAGACTGACGCCGTGGCCCCTGGACGGCGGGGTCGGGTGGGGCCCTCCTGTGGCGCCCAGAAGGTGAGGAGATCTCCCGCTCACGCCCTGCAGCCTCGTACTGGCCTCTCGGGTTCTCCCCAGCCCGCGGTTTCCTGCCTCCCCAGGAGCACAGCATTCTCGCGTCCATCGCGGCCCTGGGCCGGGCCCTGCGCGGAGCGGTGGCGGGGGCGCCCCGCGGGGCCCTGGAGAGAGCCGCCTGGACCGTGGCCCTGCGCACCGAGGCGGTGATGCGGCGCCACTGCCGGCCGCTGCGCCAGGTGCGCGCTGCCCCGGGCGGGGCGGGGCGGGCCGGGCCCCGGGCCCTCCCACCATTGGGGCTTCACCGGGCCCAGACCAGGCGGCGCGCCCTGCCCCGCCCCGGGCTGGGGGGCTCCTGGCTGGCGCCCAGGTGCTGACCGCCCGGCCGTTCCGCAGCCGAGCCGCCCGGGCTGGTGGGCCCAGCCGCGCACCGGGCACCGGCACCCGCACCGCGGCCGGAGGCGGCGCCTGCTGCGGGCCCTGGACGCCGTCGCCACCTGCTGGGAGAAGCTCTTCGCCCTGCGCGCCCTGGGCAGCCGGGGCCCCTAGCTCGCCTGCAAGCAGCCTGTGCTGGATGGAGCAGTTACCGGGAGTCTCCGTGTGACCACCGGGGGCTCCGTGTGGGCCTGGCGGGCCATTGAGCCCACCCAGGGCCCGGGGCCTGGAGACCGAGCCCTGTCCGGGCCCAGCGCGCTCCCCCAGAGGCTCAATAAACAGCTGGTGTCGCCAGTCCGGTGCTTGTTCCGTTTGCCTGCTGGCGGGGGCGGGGCGGTCGCCCAGGCTCTGCTTGGTTGGGAGTGGGCGCTGGGGGAGCCTGGGTACACTTCCTTTACCTGGGCAAGGCCGCCCTTCCCAGCTCGGGCAGCAGGGGGCGCCTTCCCACGCTGGGCTCCTGCTCGGCCTGAGGCGCTGGGACACGGTGCGTGTCCTGGGCTTCCCTCTGGAGCGGGGGAGGGGTGGTGCTGAAGGGGAAGGGAAGGCTGGGCTTTGTGAATTCACAGCAAAACAGCCGGATAAAGGAAACAGGCCAGAAGGGAAGCCAGAGCTGCTGGCCCTGGCTGCAAGCGGGGCCAGGCCGTTTCCTGCGGCCCTGGGAGGGGTGGCGGGCCCCTTGGTGGGACTGGACTGGCTGGCCAGAGACCACTGTCATGTCCTGGGGACCCAGCGTTTGCTTGCAGAGTGGGGCGCCAGTCCCTGCTCTCCCCCTTGCGGCTGCATGGGCCTGGGGTCTGTCCCCTCCGGAGTCCAGCCTGCGGCCAACGGGGAGTCTGGCAGGCAGAGCGCTGGCTGAGGCGGATGCTTCTCCGGAGACGGCTGCCCCCGGAGACCCCAAAGCAGGCCTTGCCTCAGGTCCTGGCAGAGCCGAGGCAGGGGGTGCAAGAAAGGCCTTCAGGGGGCAGCCGTTGGCATGACCCTCAGGACCTGACAGACCCTGCCCAGCGCCCACTGTCTGTGTCAACACACAGTCCTGCAGCAGGAACTGTTGTCTATTTTCTAGGTGAAACTGAGGCACCAGGTAGGGGCTTGACCAGGTCACACGCAGGAAGTGTAAGAGCGGCGAGGGTGGCGCCTAAATGTGCCGTGGGCAGCGGCAAGCCCGGCTCCCTCCTGACGCTGCCATCCATGAAGCGCAGCCCTGGGGCGGCACTCCCATGGAGGACCCTCTGCTGGCGTGCCCCACAGCGTGCCACGTGTGGAACGTGGCCGGCCCAGCCGGAGGGGCTGAGCTGAGGAGCGATGTCAGAGCTGATCAGGGGAGACCCCGGTGCAGCAGGCTGGGGGGATGACTTTGTGGTTGAGGCTGAAGGAATAGGCTGGGACATGAAGGAGGTCTAGGCAACCTGTGTCCTCTTTGAGGGGAGCAGACCTGTGTAGGATGGAGCAGTCACATCCCGGGCTTCTGCTGTGTGGGCCCTGAGGGGGAACAGGTCCAGTTTAGTTGGAGCCCAAGTTGGGGCTGGAGAAGGTCAGAGCTAGCGTCAGTGCAGGAGGCCCCCACCAGGCCCCTGTCTTTCCCGGCAGCCAGCTCCCAGCACGTGGGCCTGCCCCAGGCCTGGGGCCATGGGCAGAGCTTGCCTGGGATGGCCTCCGGCGCTCATGGCTGCTGCCCACCCACCATGCCCTCCTTCTGCTGTGCTGGAAGCGGTGGTAACAGGCAGCCCCTTCATCTACCCATGTGGTTCACACAACCACACAACCGCAGAGTTTTAAGGACACAATCCCCATGCAGGTCCTGGACCACGACCACATGAGTGGGTGAGTGCTCCCACTCCCTGCTCGCCCCCCCCCCCCGGTAGTGTGTGTGTGTCAGTGTGCACATAGGTGTATGCTGAGGGGTTACCTTTGAGTGTGTACATAGAGGTCCAGGCTGCTGCCTCCCCCCTCCCCTGCCCAGTGAGCTCCCCTCTCTGAGGCCCTCCCGGTCTGTCCTAGCAAATTGAATGCCTGTGGGGCCGGCGTTGGAGACCTCTGGTCTGAGCCAGCAGAACACAGCGCCCACGTTCCTGTTCCTGCAACGCCCCACCCACCCCTTCCACCCTCTGACCTTTCTCTTGAGGCCTCCGACATGCCAACCCCTGGATGATGGGCCAGTATTGTGGGTGTGGGGGACCCGGGCCCTGTCCCCACATCTTAGAAGCCATCTGGCCTGACCAGTATGACCCAGTGGCTGATCGATGACCTAGGAACCAGGAGGTCACAGTTCGATTACTGGGCAGGGCACATGCTCAATTTGTGTGCTCAATCCCTGGTGTGGGGCATGCAAGAGGCAGCTGATCAATGATTCTCATCACTGATGTTTCTCTCTCATCCTCTCTGAAATCAATAAAGATTAAAAAAAAACCTGGTAGATTGTTCATGATTAAAGAAGAAAAGAAACTATCTGTATCTGTGTCCTAAGACTGCTGTGAAAAATCACCACAAACCAGTTGGCTTAGAGCAGAACTTTCTTTTCTCACCATTCCAGAAGCCAGAGTCCAAAATCAGCGTCGCTGGCCTGAAACCAGCGTGCCTGGGCCATGCTCCCTCCAGGCCCACAGGCGGCCTGCCTGCTGCTCGCAGCTCCTGGCGCAGGTGTCCGGGAGGCGGCTGTGTCACCGCCATCCCCACCTCTCAGGAGGGGATTGCCCTGGGATTCAGGGCCACTCAGGTTCTGGGTGTGCAGGTACGTCTTTGGGAGTCAGGGTGGGCTTCGGGCTTTCGGGACCGTCCCTGACCAGTCAGGTCTGGGGGCAGGCACAAAGCCACACTTGCTGAGACAGGCTAGAGGGAGAGCCGGTGCCCGTCCAGACCCCAAGGTGCTGGCTGTCCTTCAGCCTGGGCACCGGGACCCCTCCATCGCTTTGTTCACCACGGCACATGAGCACTCAGTAAACGCACTGGCTGGGTCTGACCGGTGCTGGCAGAGCTGGAGTGAGACTGGCCCACCGGCCGCAGGGACAGAGCCACGCGCACAGGCATGGCTGGGTGCAGGGGCCCTCGTGTCCCTCTGCCGGTGTCATGCCTCCCTGTGTCTGGGCTCACACGTGGTGGGGTCAGGGGTGCTGGTTCCAGGAGGCGGGGCTGGGACGCGGGGCTGAGCGGGCAGCAGATGGGGCTGCAGGGCAATAGCCAGGGTTGCGCAACTTTCCAAAGCAGGGAGCCAGGCCCCCACACAGCGTGTGGGGAGGGGCCAGCTGACTTCGAAGAGCAGCCGTCCCGCGGACTCCCCACACGGAGCTTTTGAAAGAACATCTGGAACCCGGGCCGTCCACAAACTGGTCTCTGGGTTAGAAAAACCAAAGTTATCCTGACTTCGCCACTGTGCTCCACGCCCCTGCTCTGCCCCTTCCCACGCTGCCGACAGGCCCGGGGGCGGGGCGCGGTGTATGAGCTTTCCCTGGGGTCCTCGCATGCAGTTCTGGGTCCCTGGAGCCACGGCTGCCCCCATGTCTGTGCTGGGTGCGGAGGACTGACAGTGCCCGAGCCGGAGCCCGAGGAAGCGCCTGCAGGGAGACCTGGGCACAGCCTGCCAGCAAGGGCCCTGCGTGTGAGCCTGAGCGGCCTGGCCCTGCAGGTGTGAGGAGGCTGCCTCTCCAGCTGGGCTGCGGGGACAAACAGGCCCCGCTCCAGGAAGCACAGCAAACACTGTGTGGGTGCCAGGTGCTGCGGCCATTGTCCTTGCCAGCGGCCTGTGGGACCCTGGGGAATGTCAGCGACAGTCCCCATCCTGCCCCTCCCTGGGAAAAGGCCCGGCTTTGTGAGTACAGACACAAATACCCGGCCCGGGGCCGCACCTGCTGGGAAGGCCTGTGTGGAGTGAGGGTCGGAGCGTGTGCTTGGGGAGGGCGGCCCTGGGCGGGCGGAGGGCGCAGCCGGATTCAGGGACTCGCCCTCCCTCGCCCAGGGTGACAGTTGTGTGGGCTGGAGCTGCAGGGCGCCCCAGGGCCGGCCCTCCTCCCGGCCTGGCCGGCGAGCGGCCAGGGGTCCGGCTGCGGCCCCAGATAAGCCCGCGCCGTTTCCTGCGCTTCCTCCCAGCGGCCCTTCCTGTCTCCGCGCCGGCGGGCAGGTCGCGGGCCTGGGCGGGCGGGGCGCCGCTCTGGGAACCGGGCCTGGGCCCCGCAGGGCTTCCCTGGGCCTGGCTGTGGCAGGGGCGGGCGGGCGGAAGCCGGGCCTGTGGGCTGGCACCGAAGAGGAGGCACCTGGGCCCCGCACCGGCCTGGGTCAGGCCTCCCACACCTTGGCCCAGACTCTCCCCGCAGCCCGGCCTGCGCCAGCCGTGGGTGGGCCTTGGTTGTAGGGGCCGTGGGATTGGAGCTCAGAGGCTCCGGACCTCCCTTTGGGGACAGCTGCTCTAGCACATAGATTTGAGGTGCTTCATCTCCTCGCTCAGACGTGTTCATCGGACACAAACGTTTGTCATTTTAACAGACACGTCCACACAAAATGTCACTGCATCGTTCACCGTAGCCAAGACGCGGGATCAACCCACTGTCCATCACTGATGAATCAAGAAATCAGTGTGGTCTGTCCATACGACGGAATATTATTCAGACTTAAAAATGAATGAGGCTGCCCTGACCAGTTTGGCTAGTGGACAGAGCATCCGCCTGTGGACTGAAAGGTCCCAGATTCAATTCCCGTCAAGGGCATGTACCTTGGTTGTGGTTTCTAACTCTCTATCCCTCTCCCTTCCTCTCTGTAAAAAATCAATAAAATATATATATTTTTTAAAAATGAGGCTGGAAGGTGTGGCTCAGTGGTTGAGCAACGACCTATGAACGAGGAGGTCACAGTTAGAATCCTGGTCAGGGCACATGCCCGGGTGACGGGCTCAATCCCCAGTAGGGGGCATGCAGGAGGCAGTCGATCGATGATTCTCATCACTGATGTTTCTCTCTCTCCCTCTCCCTTCCTCTCTGAGATAAATAAAAATAAATATGCCAAAACCGTTTTGGCTCAGTGATAGAGTGTCGGCCTGTGGACTGAAGGGTCTCGGGTTCGATTCCGGTCAAGGGCATGTACCTTGGCTGAGGGCACATCCCCAGTAGGGGGTGTGCAAGAGGCAGCTGATCGATGTTTCTGTCTCATCAATGTTTCTAACTCTATCCCTCTCCCTTCCTCTCTGTGGAAAATCAATAAAATATATATATTTTTTAAAATTAAAAATAAAAAATAAATAAAAAAGAATAAGAAACAGCCCAATGATGCTGGCACATGGGTGAACTTT